GTTTTCTTTTCTTGTGATATCATTGTCTGGTTTTGGTATCTGAATAATACTGGACTCATGAAATAATGTAGTACTTTTTCCTCCTCTTCTTTTTGAAAGAGTTTATAAAGAATTGGTTTTAATTCTTCTTTAAATATTTGGTAGAAATCACCAGTGAGTACATTTGGGCCCGGGCTTTCTTTGTGGGTAATTTTGATAACTGATTCAATCTTCTGACTTGTTCTAGGTATAGTCAGATTGTCTACTTCTTGAATTAGTTTAGTAGTTTGTATCTTTCTGTGAATTTGTCTATTTTATCTAAGTTATCTGATTCTTGGCATAGAATTGTCCATATTATTCTTTTATAATTCTCATATTTTCTGTATGGTCAGTCTTAATGCCCTCTCTTTCATTGCTGAGTCTAGTTATTGGAGTCTTCTCTGTCTTTTTTATTTTTTGTTTTTTGTGAGGAAGTTTGGCCCTAGGCTAACATCTGTTGCCAATCCTCCTCTTTTTTTGCTTGAGGAAGATTGGCCCTAAACTAATATCTGTGCCAATCTTCCTTTATTTTGTATGTGGGTCACCACCATAGCATGGTTTGATGAGTGGTGTAGGCCTGCACCTGGGATCCTAACTCATGAACCCTGGGCTGCTAAAGCTGAGCCTGCTGAACTTAACTACTACACCACAGGGCTGGCACCACTCTGTCTCTTTTTAAGTGAGTCTAGTTGAAGTTTTGTCCATTTTGTTGATTTTCTAAGGACCAAATTTGATTTTGTGAATTTTATGTATTGTTTCTCTATTCTCTTTCCTCTACTTATTTAATTTTTACTCTAATCTTTACTTTTCCCTTCCTTCTGCTTGCTTTTGGTTTAGTTTGCTCCTCTTTTACCTTTGACTTAGGTGGAAAGTTAGGTAATTGAGTTGAAATGTTTCTTTTTTATGTAGGCATTACAGATATAAATTTCCCTCTAAGTACTGTTTTAGTAGCATCCCATAAATTTTGGTATGCTGTGTTTTCATTTTCATTAATCTCAAAGTATTTTTTAATTGCCATGTTGATATCTTCTTTGATCCATTGGTTATGTAAAAGTATGTTGTTTGATTTCCATATGTTTGTGAATTTCCCAAATTTCTTTCAGGTATTGGTTGATTTCTAATTTCATGCCACTGTAATAAAAGAACATACTTTGTATTATTTCTATCTTTTTAAATTTATTGAGGTTTATTTTATGGCCTAGCGTATGGTTTATCCTGAGGAATACCCCATGTGCATTTGAGAAGAATGTATATTTTGCTGTGGTTGGGTGAAATGTTCCATAAATGTCTGTTAGGTTTATACTGTTGGTTTATAGTATTGTTGAAGTCTTCTTTTTCTTTGTTGATCTTCTGCATAGGTGTTATATCCATTGTTGAATGTAGTATTTTGAAATCTGCAACTGTTATTGTTATATTGTTTATTTCTCTCTTAATTTCTGCCGATTTTATTTTCATGTATTTGGTGCTCAGTTATTAGGTGCATATGTGTTTATAATTGTTTTATCTTTCTGATGGGTTGACCCTTTTATCATTATAAAGTGTCCCTGTTTATCTTACTAGCATTTTTTAAGAGTCTGTTTTGTCTGATATCAGTGTAGCCGCTCCAGCTTTCTTATGGTTGCTGTTCGCCTGAGATATCTTTTCCATCTTTTCAATTTTAATCTATTTGTAATTGAATCTCAGGTGTATCTTACTATAGACAGCATAGTTTTATCTTGTTTTCTTTGCAGTCTAACAGTCTGTGCTTTAATTGACATCTGTAATCCATTAACATTTAATGTTGATATGTATACAAAGGATTTCTGATGCCGTTCTGCTTTTATTTTCTATGTCTCATGTCTTTTCCCCCCTCTATTCCTCTTTTAATGATACCATTTTATTAAGTGGATAATTTCTACTGTAATATTTTAATTATTTAATAATTTATCACTATATTTTTCAGTTATTTTCTTAGTAGTTACTCTAGAGTTTACCGTATACTTATCTTATCAAAATCCACTTCAGATTTATACTAACTTAATTTCAGTGAGATACACAAACATGACTTTCTATAGCTCTATTTCTACTTCTTCCTTTTGGGGCTGTTTTCTTGTATAAATCGTATCTAAATATGGTAGAAACCCAACTATACATTTTAATAATTATTACTTTATATAATTTTAGAGAGTTTGTATTGCTGTCTTCAAGGTCACTGATCTTTTCTTCTACAATATCAAATCTACTGTTAATCCCATCTCGCATTCAGTGTATTTTTCAACTCAGACATTTTCATCTCTAGAAGTTTGATTTTAGTCTTTTATGTACTTTCATGTCTCTGATGTAACTTTTTGAACATAAGGAATACATTTACAATAACTGTTTTAATGTCATTTACTGCTAATGCTAACATCTATGTCATTTCTAGATTAATTTAAATTCATTACTTTTCTCTGCCTTATGGGTTGTGTTTTCTTATTTTCTTTGCATGCCTTGTTTTTTTAGGGTAAATTATTCTCAACTACTGACAGAAGACCCTTCTGAATACTCTAATGCCCAGCAAATTATAAGGTTTTCCAGTCTGGTTGGTGTGAACAGTCACTATTCCCAGTCCTGTGGAGCACTGGGTACTGTTCCTGTGGTCTTTCTGGATTGTTCTTTCCCTGTCCTTGGATAGTTTCCTTACATGCATGCACTGATGAGCTCAAGATGTGAGGAAAAGTCTCTGCAGACTTTCAGTTGCTATTTCTGTTCAGCTCTCTTCTCTACATGCCTTCACCTTCAATTGGCTGTCCTGGCCTCTCCAATTCACAACTCTGTCCCCTCAATTCAGTGAGACTGCTGGTCTCTGTTAGGGTTCCTCCTCCCTGCACTGTGTCCTGGAAACTCTCTCCAGGAAGAGAGGTGGACAATTTTAGGCCTCACTTCTTTGGTTTCCCTTCTCTAAGGGATCACAATCCTTGTGCTGTCTGTTGTCCAAGGTCTGAATTCCATTATTTCATATATTTATCTGAATTTTTAGTTGTTTAAGATAGGCGAGTAAATCTCATCCTTTTCACTCTATCCTGGTCCAAAGAAAAAGTCCATGAACTGAGTTTCTAACTAAAATTGTTTAAATTTTAATTTTTTTCCTTTTTTTTTTTTTTTGCTTCAGGCAGATTTCCTTGAGCTAACAATGTGCCAATCTTCCTCTTTTTGCTTGAGGAAGGGTCACCCTGAGCTAACATCTGTTGCCAATCTTCCTCTATTTTGTATGTGGGTCACTGTCACAGCTTGGCCACTGATGAGTGGTGTAGGTCCACACCAGGGAACTAAAACTGGATGCCAAAGTGGAGTGTGCTGAACTCAACCACTAGGCCATAGGGCCAGCCCTCTTCATTTTAATTTTTAAAAACTTATTTGGTTCTTTTGAAAATCAGATAGGTTATATTTAATTTCCTATGTTCTGTAGGCATTTTCAATTTTTCATTTTTTCTTATGTCACATATGTATGCTTATACGTTTATATTATATCCTGGTTATGTTATATTCTATGTCTCATAACTCCAATGTTGAAGTTTTATGAGCCTGTGTATACCACCCTTTGTTTCTACTACTTCTCAATCATCATCTTTTTTCCATTTGTATTTCTACATTTCTTGCTATGAGCTGCTAATTTTCCTTGTGTAATTATTTGTGTAAATTCTTTAATGCCTAGGTTAATTGTAGATTTCTGTAGAGATTTTTGTCTCTTTCTTCCAGTTGTTGGGTCATGATCAATCCAGGATGATTATAAACTAAATTCATGGCACAAAGTTCTTTTGGCCCAAAATAGTAAAGCACACTTGGACTACAAATTACAGGAGGGCTAGCTCATAGCTGAAAATTCTCAGAAACAGTTTGCTCCTTTTTAATTTTACTGGCTCAAAGGCAAATTTCCTAGGAATACTCTTGTATTAGGGGATGAAGCAGATTTTGTTTTGTTTAACCCTTACTCTGAGGATATGAACCTTGTTTCCCCAGATTTTCAGGGAGGGGACGTCCCTTATGCTCCCCACATGAATAAGCTCTGGGCATCATGTCCTGTCTATTGCAGCTCATGAACCCAAGAAAACAAAAGCTAAGATTTTTACAGATTTGGCAAATGCCCTAAGGATAAAAACAATTTCTCTCTGGATTATTTGCCCACATTTATATATTGGTCTAAAGGATTATTCTCTTGATTGTTTTGCTATACTTCAGTTGCTTTTTATATTTTATCAATTATTTTTAGTTGCTTTTAATGGAGGAGGCAGCCTTAAAACCTAGCTTACCATATTACTGGAAATGGAATCCCCATTAACTACTTTTTTCATTCCTACTACTTATCCAGCACCAGGGTAGGTTCTAGAATACAAGTCAGTCTAAACCAATGCTACTTAGTGTGGTCTGTGAGCCAGCGCTGGCCTGTGAGGAGTTTGTTATTAGCCCACAATAAGACATATACAGAAATGGGGCTGACCTGGTGGTGTAGTGGTTGGGTTTGCGTGCTCTGCTTCAGCAGCCCGGGGTTCACAGGTTCAGATCCCAGGCATGGACCGGCGTGCCGCTCATCAAACCATGCTATGGCGGCATCCCATGTACAAAGTGGAGAAGGATGGGCACAGATGTTGGCTCAGGGCCAATCTTCCTCAGCAAAAAGAGGAAGACTGGCAACAGATGTTAGCTCAGGGCCAATCTTCCTCACCAAGAAAAAAAAAAGAGAGAGAGAGAGAGATACAGAAATTGAAAGTGAGCATAAGCAAGTAACCTCTACCTTATCATGTCCCAAACTACTAATGGTCAAGGAAAAGATGAGCATTTATGTCATGTCACTGGATATGCTAAAACAGTTTGATTATTAGCTGTTCATGGACCAGAGACTGAGTAGCATGATGTCTAAACTAGGATGGTTTTTAGACTTCTGTTGGGGTCACATAAATACTGATAAATGTTACAGATACTCTCTTAAGAAATATGTACATATACAAAGAAATACAAAAGTTAATATAAAATGTCAGTGTATATATATGGATCCTCTGAAATCTTATAGATCTTGGTTTCTTAATCCTAGCAAGAGACAAAGGCAGGGAAAAGACATTTTGAGTAATCACTTCATCATCCCACAATGACACTCCAGTTATTTGTGAGTACAACCTAGAGTAGAAAAAAGCTGGTCCCCATAGCAGGCTATCAACAGATTAAGTTGAAAGTCATCATTTATTAGTCACTCATTTATCCAACCAAACCCGAGACCCTGCACTGTACCAGATCAAGTTCTGGTCTCAGATCACTGCTCCAAAAATGGACATTTGTCATTCTTTTTTCCATTTCTCATGCCCAACCTCCACCCTAGAACCTGTACCCTCTTCCCAATTTAGGAGAATTCCACACTTGAAGAGTCTTGGTAGGAGGCAGAGAACACCATCCTTTTTTATTTATTTATTTATGTATGTTGTGTGTGAGGAAGATCAGCCCTGAGCTAACATCCATGCCAATCCTCCTCTTTTTGCTGAGGAAGACGGGCTCTGAGCTAACATCTATTGCCAATTCTCCTCCTTTTTTTCCCCATAGCCCCAGTAGATAGTTGCATGTCATAGCTGCACATCCTTCTAGTTGCTGTATGTGGGACGCCACCTCAGCATGGCCAGAGAAGCGGTGCGTCGGTGCATGCCTGGGATCTGAACCCGGGCTGCCAGTAGCGGAGTGCGCACACTTAACTGCTAAGCCACGGGGCTAGCCCCAAGAGCACCATCCTTAAAAGAGGGAAACCCACTTTCCCAAAGATTCTTGCAGTTGGACACAGCATGAGGCTCCATCAGTCAGGTGACCACATGCTGGACTCTGACTCAGGACGTGGTGACAGAATGGTGAGGACTGTGCAGAATGCATTTGGCAAAGGTGGTGTGTGTGGCAGTAGTGTCATCCAGTTGCCAGGAACAGCACAGATAGCAGTCACAGGGTCCAGTGTCCAGTATCAGGAGATTTAGTGATATGAGCAATGGCATTTGTGTCTAGCAGCAGTGGCAGTGATTCCTACGTGGTACCCAAGGCCCCAATACTTTCTCTTTGTCTTTCAATATTCATTTATGTTTGAATTAGAACAATTTGGAATCTGTTGCTCTCACCAAGAAGTGAGTGAGAAATCCATGTAGGGAATAGTTTCAGAGAGCAAGGATGCAAAGATTTTTTTCCAATTTCATTGAGATATAATTGACATATAATATTTTGTACGTCAGAGGTGTACAACCTGTTGATTTGACATGCTTATATATTGCAAAATGATTAACATCACACAGTTAGCTAACACCTTCATCACGTCATATAATTGCCATTTCTGTTTTTGTGGTGAGAACATTTAAGAATTCTTAGGGTGCTGGCCCCATGGCGCAGTGGTGAAGTTCCACGTTCCACTTTGGAGGCTCAGTTTTGTGGGTTTGGATCTGGGTCATGGACCTACACCACTCGTCAGCCACTCTGTGGCAATGACACACATATAAAAAGTAGAGGAAGATTGGCACAGATGTTAGCTCAGGGCTGAGCTTCCTCAGCAAAAATAATAATAATAATAATAATAATAATAATTCTTAGAAGCTTAGATATTTTCCTTTGTTGAGCTGATAACCATTTCCAAAATCTTCCACCTGGCTATCATCCATGGTACAGAAAACAACATGTATCTCCTGGCATGTGATTTGCCTCTTTCTTCCCAGGAGAAAACATTTAAATATGGATTTAAGACCCCTCCCTACCCTGAATGCTCTCTGATGATAGGCATCAATGGTTCCCAATCTGGCTGAGCACGAGGATTGCTTGTGGGCTTGTTTCAAAATACACAAACCTCTCCCCAGACCCACCATTTCAGAATATTGGGCACCAAGCCCAAGAATCACTTATTTAACAAGCCCGACCTCTGAGGCTCATGCACAGGCATATGAAAATCCTGGTCTATGTTCATGCTACGAAATGTGTGCTCTGAAGACCACCAGCATCAGCACCAAACTGCTTATAAATGCAGAATCTCGCCCTCTACTCCAGACTGTCTAGATCTTAGTGAGATATCCAACAGAAACCTGTGCACAAGAAAGTTTGCAACTCCCTGGTCTCCGTGCCTTCCAGACGCGATGTGAGAACTGTGCAGTCTTCCCTGGGTGGATGGTCTGATCAGATCCCTTAGCACTGGGGTTCCAGGGTTCAGTCCTTATTCCTGTCTTCTATAGCCATCATTCCCTTTGTGACCTCATCAGTTCTTAAGGCTTTAAATATCATTTATATGGTGTCACCTAACAAATCTATTTCTCTACCCCAGACATGTCTTCTAACTCGAGGCTTCCATATCCAACTGCTAAAACTAACCTCACTTACATCTAATAGATATCTCTTTTTCGACTTTCCTAATTAGATGTCTACGGTGCTGCTTCTTTCCAATGTGTTTCTTCTATCGTCCTCTCCATTTCCACTGAAAGTATTCCATATTTCTACTTACACAGTCTGAAATTTGGAGTGTCCTCCTCGATCCTTTCTTATAACCCAGACTTAATTCATTAGGAAATGCTGTAAAGCCCATCTTCAGAATGTATCCAGAATCCGATCACTTCATATTCTTTTCCCTGCTCACACCCCAGACAAAGCAACCACCATCTCCAGCCTGGAACACGGCACTAGTTTCCTCGTTTTCTCTACTGATTGGCCGCCTTCACCTCTTGATTCTGCACAGCACCAGATGGATGCTTCTCAAGAGAAGTCACACTAGGTCACTCTTCTGTTCAAAATCATCTTGTAACTTCACATCTTTCTCAGAGAAAAGTCAATACCTTCTAATATCCTCTAGGCCTACACGACCTGGGTGTAATTCAGACCTCATCTCAATTACTCTCCGCTCCAGCCACACAGGTCTCCTCGCTCTTCGTTGAATACACAGACACTCTTGCCCTAGTGCATTTGCACTGGAGGTTCCCCTGCCTGAAAAAACTTCCCCCAAGACATCCTCCTGGATAATTCCTTCATGTCCTTCAAGTCTTTACTCAAGGTCACCGTCCCACTGAGGCTCACACTGACCACCCTAGGAAAACAGCCATCTTCCCTGTCCCCACACTCTTATAGTCCGGGTTACCTTCCTCAAAGCACTTAAACTTTTAACATAAACATTTCTCTTATTTACTATGCTTATAGCATACAGTCTGCCCCTCACCACTACAACACATGCTCCACAAGGCTGGCAATTTTTGCCTGTTTTTAGTTCACTGAGGTTTCCTAGATGCAAAATTATTTTGTCATATATCTGGCAAACAACAATTATCAGTTGAATGAATGATCAGTGTAGAGCACCTCCCTATTCTAGAGACAGTATCTTTATTCATGTAACCTCAAGTCACATGCTGTTTTGTGGCAGCTACAGCACAACGTCCACTCACACTGACATCAATACCACCTGTACTTTTCTTACAAGTGCTGCTCTCCCCTCCCTCCCACAGCCACCCTCCTGCACACTACACACACAATTGTATTCAGAAAGCACAGTCCTAGGTTTATGGGTCCTATTTTCCAACCAATTGTGAATCTAAAGGAGACTCAACTTTGTAAATCCAAGGGTTTGGATCTGAGCCAGCACTAGGATGACTAGAGCTGAGGGTAGAGAGAGGGGGCAGGCTGCAGAGAAGATAGATATCCAATAGGAATTTATCTAAGATTAGAAACTATCACATCCCTCCTCTCTGCTAATTCTAGAATCTGGCTCTTTAAGAAGGGAGAAAAGGTGGAAAGAACAATCCAGGAAACAGCCCTAGAAGGAGGGAAACAGCTGGATGAGTCCGAAAATTCAACTTTGCATACCAGAGTCTCCTGTGTGCAGGGGCCACTGTGGGCCTTGTGGGGACAATGACATGCCAAACGACTCCTGCTGCTGTCAGAGACGGGGGACACCCAGAGGAGAATGAAACCATGCTAATCATGAAAAAGAACAGGAATAATCCAAAAAAAAAAACCCGAAGGAACAAAATATAAACACAGAAATGGTAGGGGCTGAGGTCTGGACCTAGGCCTGAGCCTAGAGTGACCCGGCCAAAGGAAGCCCTCACTGTCCACGGTCCTGAAGACATGACAGTGCCCAGGTGATAGACATCTGAGTTGCTGTGATGACAGATCCTGGTGGGACAAGGTTCTACTGAGGGGACCAGAACAAACGAGCAGAGAGATGACCCAGCTGAGGAGGGAGCACGTCAAAGCCCATGATGCATGGAGCAGCGACTGGGCACAGGCCCTGTCCACACTCAGCTCCTCAGTCTCTTCTGTCCCCACCTGCACCAGACTCAGTACAGTCAACACACAAATTCTAGAAGGTTCTCAGTGCTTCCATTTGTTTCCTCTCTCAAACCTCAGGAAATTTCTCCTTTAATTAACGTATCAATGCCTTACGACAAGAATTAGAAAAAAGAAATTCATATCTAGATTCTTATTTTCAATAAGGAAGCATATCATTACTACTCAGCTCAACATAAAGTTAAGACAAGGATGGAGATGGCCCAGCCTGGCCTCTGCTGGAACAGGAAAGTCAATTAGGGGAAGAACACAGGTCATTGTGCAGAGGGGTCATGGTGGGCAGGCGGTGGGCCAATCTCCCCTCCTCCTCACATTATGCTAATAGGAACGCAGACACATTCAGATGCCAGTTGTAAAAAGAGAAGTCAGGGGATCTTGAAGTCACAAAGTGGGAGCGTGAACAAATCTTGCATCACTCAGTACCCCACAAGGCAGCTGTCTCACACTGTGAGAGAAAATAATCATAAACAAATTCAGGTCAGTCACATGAATGTTGACATTGTCAGCAGCCTACTACATGCTCAACAGGTCCCCACTCAAAGAATTTCCATAACCTAGTTGTGTGCCCTCTGACCCAGCTCCTCCCCCACTTCAGGCCTCCAGGGTCTCACCTTTAGGATCTGTGAGAGACACATCAGAGCCCTGCGCACTGTCACTTCCTGGGGTAGAACAGAACAGGACATGGTCAGGGTCCACAGGAGATGAGACTAAAGGAGGAACTGTGGGGTGGGTGAGCTCCCCCATGGGCTCCGTCTACACCATCCCAATGGTCTCAGAGATCAACCCGACTCAAACTTACCTGCAGCCTGAGTGTAGCCCCCTCTTTTTTCACCTGTGGGAAGAAAACAGGGAGAAGCCTCCGTCATGAGATCCTAGAGGAACCCCCTAGTCCTGAACCACAAAGAAGTTTCCAAAACGACGACTGAAGACCCAGGGCAGCCTCAGGAAACGTGAAGAAGGGGCATGTGTGGGGACAGGACTAATTGCCCTCCTGGAGCTCTGTCATCACTAGGGACCTTCTTCTGACCTCCAGTTGCAGGAATCAGGTCCCCAGCACCAGAAGTATCATGGTGAAAAAATCTGTCTTTTGTTTTCACAAGTGCTTTACAAAAGAGTGTTAGCTATCAACTCCCCAGTGGCAGGTACATGTGTATGAATGGTACTTCCTATTAATAAGGCAAGGCAAACTTCTACCCGGGGCTTGAAACCCCCCGAGTGGGACAAAAAAAACTCAGGCCCTACCCCTTTCCTACCTGAGCGCTTCTTCCTCCACATCACAGCTCCAGCCACCACAGCTACAGTGACCACAAAGACAACCAGGCCAGCAATGATGCCCACAATAGGGATGATGGACTGAGAAGCTGGCTCTGGGAAGGCAAGAGAAAGTGAAGGGCTCTGACCTCAGGCCTCAACCCTGAACCCTGCTGAAGTTCCCCAGAAGGGCTCCTGATTTCCCTGAGAAGAGACTCTGAGCCCACATCTCCCTCCTCACCCCATCTCAGGGTGACCGGCTCAGACAGCCCCTCGTGCTGCACATGGCACGTGTATCTCTGCTCCTCTCCAGAAGGCACCACCACAGCTGCCCACTTCTGGAAGGTCCCGTCCCCTGCAGGCCTGGTGTCCACAAGCTCTGTGTCCTGGGTCAGGTCCTCCCCATCACGCTGCCAGGTCAGGGCGATCTCCGCAGGGTAGAAGCCCAGGGCCCAGCACCTCAGGGTGACCTCACGGTCAGAGACGGGGTGATGGGTCACGTGTCTTTTTGGGGCTTCTGAGAAGGAAGAATCGAAAATTCACACTTTCAGTTACCTCCATGGGCCACTAAAACAGCACTCATGTGACCATCCTGAGAATGGATAGGATGATTGGTTTGGAAAAAGGAGGCACAAAACACAGACACCAGCTCGGACTTGGGGATCTGGGATATACTCTCCAATTCCTTGAAAAGTTCTAGAATCAGTGTGAGACCCCAGGGTAGGAGGCTCCAGGTCTCAAAGGAGAAGAACACAGACTAATGGTCCTGACCTTGGTGGAGGATGAATGACTCAGAAAAACTGGATTTGGACCTGCAAAGATGTTCTCAGGCTGAGAACAAGGCCTTGAGACAGAAAGATGGCAGCCACAAGATGGCTGTGAGAATCAAAGAGAACCAGTGATGAGCGATTTCAGGGATGGTCTTCCCTTCTATTCCTGAAGAAACTGGATTCCTTAACTGTCGTTTAGAGAAGGGCGGGCCTCTCCGCGAGTCATTCGTACAGAATATGGAAGCCTCGGTGGATTCCTCCCTCTCCCGAGGGGTGGTATTCTGACACTGATCCCATTCTCCTCCCCTCTCTGTGGGATGTCAGCCCAGCCCGAGGGGAGATCGGGACGCCCCGCGGCCCCTCGTACCTGCGCGCTGCAGCGTCTCCCTCCCGTTCTCCAGGTATCTGAGGAGCCACTTCACACACGTGCCCTCCAGGTAGTTCCTCTTGCTCTCCGCCTCACCGGCCGCCTCCCACTTGCGCCGGGTGATCTGAGCCGCCGTGTCCGCCGCGGTCCAGGAGCGCAGGTCCTCGTTCAGGGAGATGTAATCGGCGCCGTCGTAGGCGTCCTGACTGTACCCGCGGAGGAAGCGCCCGGCCAAGCCCACGTCGCAGCCAGACATCCACTGGAGGGTGTGAGACCCTGACCCCGCCCCGCGGTCAGCCCCGCCCACTCGGCCCCGCCCCCGCCCCGCCCCGCCGCGAATAAACCCAAACTGAAAACGAAACCGCGGAAAAGTCCCCGCCGGCTCTTCCCGGGTCGGGGGGCCGGGCGGGTCCCCTAGTCTCGGGGTGAATCTCGGACCCGGACACTCGGGGAGACCCCGGCCCGTCCGTGGGGGTGGGGGTCGTGACCTGGACCCGGGCCCGCGTCGCTCACCGGCCTCGCTCTGGTTGTAGTAGCCGCGCAGTTTGTTCAGGCTCACTCGGAAAGTCTGTGCGTTGCCGTTGAAGATCCGCGTCTCCCGCTCCCAGTACTGCGCCCCCTCCTGCTCCACCCACGGCGCCCGCGGCTCCGCCCTCGGACTCGCGGCGTCGCTGTCGAACCGCACAAACTGCGTGTCGTCCACGTAGCCGACGGCGATGAAGCGGGGCTCCCCGCGGCCGGGCCGGGACACGGCGGTGAGGAAATACCTCAGGGAGTGGGAGCCTGGGGGCGGGGAGGGGCTGAGACCCGGCCCGACCCTCCTCCCGGCGCGGGTCCCGGGTCCGAGGGTGATGGGGCCGCGAGGGGGCGAGGGGGTCGTGAGACGGAAAAGGGGGGCGGGAGACCCAAGTGGGTGACAGGAGGGGGCGGGAGAAGGTGGGGGTCAGGACAGGGAGGGATGAGGTGGGGGGTCTGGGCAGGTGTCCACGGAGACGCGCCTTCCCCGGGGATCCTGCGCCCCCTCCGCGCGGTCCCCTCGCCCCGCCCCCCCCAGAGGCCGTTTCTTCCCGACCCCGCGCTCACCCGCCCAGGTCTCGGTCAGGGTCAGGGCCCCCGAGAGCAGCAGGAGGAAGGTTGGAGGCATCGTCACCCTTCTCCTCGCGGTCTGGGGAGAATCTGAGTTCCGGACGGTGGTGGAGACTTTATAACCGGGAACCGCGGAGACGCTGATTGGCTCCTCTAGAAACCGGACACGCAATGGGAGTGAGAACTGGGGCCGCGTCATGAGTCTCCAGGCGGGAGGACCTGACACAGGTTGTGAGAGGGAGAAGTGAAACTCGGGGAGATGGGGACACCCCAACACTGAGCTTCCCCGCCCCGGACACCGCCCTCGGGCTGAGACCCTGAAGCCGCGTCCGGGGACTTTGCCCTGATCCCTCTCCTCCTGCCCCGAGAGCTCTTTGTCACACTCTCTCGCTGGGGCCTGGAGCAGAGGCTGAGTCAGCGATTCTCAAACACTGTGGCTTCAGGATATCTATACAGTCTTACAAATTCGTGAGGACTCCAAGGTAATTTTGTTTATGTTGGTTTTATCTATCAATATTTACCATACTAGGAATAAAAGTTTTTAAATATTTTTGTTAATTTATTTAGAATAATATTCATAACCCATTGCAAGTTAACAGAAATAATGTTTTTATGAAAAATAACTCCTTCCCCAAATAAACAAGGTAGTAAGAAGAGTGGATCTTTTGACATTTTTGCAACTCTCTTTCTTGTCTGTCTCATTAGAAGATCACTGGATTTTCATATATGTTCTGCATTTAATGTCTTATTTTGGTTGGAAAAAATACAGCCTCACACAAATATGTAGGAGTGGTATTTTTAATAACCTTTCCAGATAATTGTGGATATTCAACTTTGATACTAAAACTACACAAGTGCTAGTTTCTCAGTGGTCATTTGCAAAGTGAAACCTGAAACAATATCATTGAGTATTTCCTATTCCGTTACATTAAAACCCACAGGTCTATTTTGCATATAGAATGGCTCTTGTACTAATGTGTGATTTTTTAAAGTAATACATTGTTTCACTAGTTGTATAGATCTTCCCTTGTCGATGAGTTCAACTACAATTATCAAAATATCGCCTTTGTTAATGTTACCACAGATCCCAACAGGAAAGTTTGTTAGTGCTGGGAAGCTGTCAGGCTTACCTAGTGGGACACAAGTTTTCCAAAATTCTGGTTTTCTCTTGAGAGCTTCCATTTTATCAAGGCAATAAGTACTGTCAGTTGTCAACCCTTGGTGGATTTTCTTGAAGGGAGAAGCTCACGTTCATTTTGAGAAAGTGTATGACAATTAACCAAATCTAATCACAGCTTCTGTCATTCATTCTTTTAAGTAAAAATGGGATTCCATAAAAGAGGCTAGCTCAGGGGTGGGCCCTGTGGCCTAGTGGTTAAGTTCAGCACACCCTACTTCAGCGGTCAGGGCCCGATTCCAAGGTGCAGACCTCCAGCACTTGTTGGCTATGTTGTGGCAGTGATCCATACACTAGATAGAGAAAGACTGGCACAGATATTAGCTCAGGGTGAATCTTCCTCAGGGAAAAAAAAAAAAAAGAGGCTAGCTCAGCTCACACAAATTATTTTCCTTGGGACATAGTACGTGGGAATGTAGCAGAAGCTTTATCTGTACTTCCCACGTCATCATATAAGATATTCTTAAAATGTGGACTTAAGAGTAATAATTTGGTAAAGATAATAGTTTTTAATGCTTCAGGACATTTTAAAGTGAAAGTGTTTTTGTTTTTTTTTTTGCAAGTAAGTGGTGACGAAGATAACTACTATTGCAGTTTGGTACCATAGCCTCCAGTCCTCCTAAGTGTCACTTCAGTGCAAAATGTCAACATAGTGAAAAGGCAAATGATGTCTAGTAATATTATAAAAATAGTTTTGACCTCATGGATCCCATGAAAGGGTCTCAGTGACTTCAAGGGTCCCACAGACCACACTTTGAGAAGTTCTGTTCTGAATAAACTAGGGAGAGTCTCTCAACTGGTCCCCACCTTTGCCGCCTCTTCATTTCCCAGAATCCCTCTCCCTGAGTTTGGACTCCTTGCCTCCCAAAACTTAGCTTAGAGCATTTCCCCTGCTCTCCTCTAGAAGTGAACTCATCCCCTGGAAATTTGATGCCAGAGAGTGTCCTCAGTTTGGGAAGGGAGGTGGAGGGACAGGTGTTTCCCTTTGGAACTGGGAACAGTTTATGCCTGAAGGCACTAGACCCACTGATAACCTATTTTGGTTTTGTTATACACCAGCTGAATATGTATTCATATCTCAGACAGAAATCTGATGTATCTCTAGGAGAAATAATATGGTTCTTTCATTTTACATGGGCCCTAATGCGTCTGATTTGAGGCCCACAAAGTATGAAGAGCAGTACTGTCCAACAGAACATCCTGTGATGAAGGAATTGTTCTATATCTGCACTGTCCAATATGGAAGCCAGTAGCTACATGTGGCTGTTGAGCACTTGAAATGTGGCTACTGGGCTGAGCAGTTGAATTTTTAATTTTATTTACTTTAAATTTAAATAACTATAAATGGCTAGTAGCTACCATATTGGACAGTGCGTATCTAGAATGTTCTTAGTTTTCGGTCTTCTCCCCCACAAAAGATACTGTATGATTCATAGGCTGATGTATATTAAAATTATCTTCATATGGGCGTCATGGATTTGTCCATGTGGGTCTTAGGCATGTCCTTAAAATACAGCATGCCCAAGAAGTGTAATTAATATGTATTTTAACAACTAGAGTGTACAGACATTAGCCAAAATGTGATTTATCACTTTAACATCATAAGTGTTCAAAAATGCCCATCACCTAATCCTGGTGTATATCACATTAGGACTCTTGGTGTTTTGTTTTCATTAACCTGGTAAACATTAGCAGGGACATAAGTCTTGACTTAGCCCAGGAGAAAGCATTTATTCAACACAGCGTGTATCAGATCCCTTGCAGGCCCTGCACATACTTGTAAAATTATAGAGCGAAGATGTAAACGTTAGAATTCCAGCTCCTCGGAATCTTTACCTATTGCTCCTCCTCATACTTTCCCCCAAAATTCAAACAGTTCTCTTTGTTTCCCTTCACCCTTGGACTCCTCTCCTAGATGAAACTATACCTGAAATTTTTACAGTTGTGGAATGAAGAATTCTCTAAGCATGACCCAAAGATGAAAAACCATAAAGAAAAACATAAAACTTATCTGTGTCAACCACACACTCACAAAGACACAAACACATGCACATCATCAAACTCAAAGACACATAACAAATTTTGACAGACAACGGGTAATAACCCACCTCAATGTCCTTCAGCCAAAGACCACCAGGAGCACACCTGTGGGCAAACAAGTTGGATTTATTACTTGCTGCAAGGGAGAAAACACACCATCGGGGATGACTGTGCATCTCAGTGTGAAGGTATTAGAACATGTATAGGATTTGGGCTTTGGTTGGGTGATTTGGGGGGGGCGGTCTGTGGAGGCAGGAGTTCACTCTAGATTGGGTGTTGTCAGGAAGTGGGGGCAATGCTGTGATTCGGCATCTCAATAATTCCTCTCTGGAGACAGGGCCGACTAGAGCAAGGATGAAGCTGTAACTGGAAAGAAGCAGCAGCCGCTCATATGAGCCAGCACAGGGAGATGTTTGGTATTTTGTGAGTTGCACAGTGCCTTGTTTTTGTCTGTGCTTAAATAAAATGATGCAGTGGTCTTGTTTTGTCTCACTTTGTCATGGTCTCAGAGTGTCCTTGTCTGATATGGATGTTCAGGGAGGTGACTTACATCCAACAAAAGAATAACATGACAGGTGGTGAGCACCAGGCCAGCTTCTGACAACACTGAGGCCTAGCTGTAAGTGTCAGACCTGTTCCCGGTGTTGGGGCTGCTTTTTCTTCTTTCTAAATTCAATATGTTAAAATAACTACAACTGAATCAAAAAATAATTAAAGAATATTAGGAAACAATTTGGAAAAGAAGAAATGAGAATGTCAAAAAATATATATTAGTAATGAATGTAAACAAAAATGAAAATGTGGAATAGAAATGGGAATAAAAATTAAAATCCATCAGCTTGGCAAAGAAGAAAAGTGATGAGAGTATTTATCAGAGGGTAGGGAAAATGTATTGTCATAAAGATTGATGGGATTGAAAACTGGTAGAAAGTCTCTAAAGGGCACTTTTGAAAAATGTCTCTATAATTTCAATGTGTTTATATTTTGACACAGAAATTTCTCATTTAGAAATTTATCCTAAGAAGATAATGACACATATTCTCAAAAGTATATATTCAAGGATGTTTCTTGAATTATGGTTTATAAAAACAAAGAATGGAACCTATATAAATGCCATAATCACAATAATGATGGTAACTATGAATAGAGGAACACTTAGTATGTCTCAGGGATTAATACCATATGATACACATAGAGGGTCAGATTTAATCCTCAAAGCAAAACCCTGAGGCACCCAACATGTGATCTTTTGTATGAACAGGGAAAGGGAGACTGAGAGGTTTAGGAGGTGGTGGAGCCGAGGTTGAACCCAGGAATTTTCTCTCAGAGCTTCGTGGACTCATCTTCCATTGATTCCCTGCCCCTCAGGTGGTGGATATGACTCTGCGCTCCATGCAAGTGAATTGCTGCAGTGTTCCAGAATATTCTTTGATCGGAGGCGGCTAGGCTCAGAGCTGAGGAGGACAGTCAAGGGGCAGTCTGATTTAACTGCCCAAACCACACTAAAGTCCATCATCCAGCGTGAATTTCGAGGCCTCCAGTGGATCAGGATCAGCTAGACTCTGGAGATACAGTGAAGAGCAAGAATAAGACCCTGGTGATATGGAGCTGGCATTGTCCTGAGGGAGATGCACATTTAGCAGAAATGACAAAGATGAATGAAATCACTACTGACCCAAGTGTTGTGAGGAAAAAGTTCATGATACCAGGAGAGCAGAGAACGTGGGGACCTAACAGGTCCCCTACCACTATTATCAATATCTAATAGATGTAAAAGATGTATGGCATATGAAACAAAAACAGAATTATATAAATCATATACAATCATAGAGCAAGAAAGAGCTCTTGGAAATTAAGAATACCATGGGGCTGGCCCCGTGGCCTAGTGGTTAAGTTTGGCGCCCTCTGCTTGAGCAGCCTGGGTTCAGTTCCCTGGCTTGGACCTACACCACTTGGCAGCCATGCTGTGGCAGCGACCCATGCACAAAATAGAGGAAGATTGGCACAGATGTTAGCTCAGGGCAAATCTTACTCAAGCAAAAAGAGGAAGATTGGCAATGGATGTTAGCTCAGGGCAAATCTTCCTCACCAAAAAAAAAAAAGAACACCATAATACAAATGTATAATTCGGTACATGAACTGGAAGATTAAAGTCATACTCCCACTGAATAGTACCGATGGAAAAGTCATGACAAACAGGTGAGAAGACCTACAAGAATATTAGTCTATCAATCAAAAGATTCCAACACATTAGTCATACCAGTTTCACAAATAATAGAGAGTAGGAAATGATAAAAAAAAATTTTAAGAAAATTTCTCAGAGTTTGCAAACAAAAATTTACATTTTGAATGGCCTAACCAGGTTCTTACTACGATAGATGAAAATAGACCCACGCTATGACAATCAAAATGAAATTTCAGAAAGGGGGTGGAGAAGAAGAGACCTTGAAAACCTCAAGAGGCAACAAACACAGGCCTGGAAGCAAGAAGACCTTGCAGCATTGCCTTCCAAATTCTAAAGCAGAAAATATTCCAACACAGAGTTCTATATCAAGTCAAGACATAATAGCTGGGGCAGCCTAAAGACATTTCAAGTGTTTAGGGTTTCAATGTTTTACTTTCTATGTTCCTTTCCTCAGGATACTACAGGCCAAAGTGGGGAAAAATGATGGAGAAAACCAAAAAAGAGGAAAAAATGGGATCCAGGCAACAGGGGAGCCAGAACAAGAGAGAGGCAAAGGGCTCCCAGGATGAGGTGAAGGAGATCTGGGATGTCAGCCCTGCCCCAGGTGTGCAGGGAACCAGTTCACCTGGCAAGACTGAGGCTGTGGGACAGGTCTCTTCACAAAGATGAAGTTGCTAGAATATCAGATGTGCTCAAATATATGCATGAAGGTTTGATCCTGGGGAGAATTGGGAATGATTTAGCAGAGTAAAACAGAAACTAAGCAGATGAAGGAACAAGACACCTATTAACTCCAGGGAAAATAAAAAGTTGATTCAAGAAAGGAAAAGTAATCATAGTTTACTAAATGCTCAGTTGTGACCAACGTTTACGTGGTCATAATAATGCAGACACTGCACCCTGAGCTAATCAAAATTGTAAAGTAGTTATATTGTGAGGATAGGAGTATGAAAGAAGAGCTAATTCACGAAAGATGATGAATAAAACTGAATAACGAAGGAATATTATGAGTATTCTATTTAGAAGCATCAAAGTAACAATTAGAGAATCAGCTAAAAGAACTAAAACAAGTTATCTCTGAGATTCAGGAAATGGTGGGGGTGGGGGGATGGACATATGTCTTCGAGCATTATAGAAGTATTGGACCTTTTAAACTATGTCAAATGGATATTTGGTAAAAATAAAAAGACAACATGATAGTGAGAGAATGGACTCATGAATTGTCCTACAAGGAGTTTCACAGAAATGGAGCAGTAGTTGGAAGGAGATGTGGGATCGGGTGGTGGATTTCTATGGGAGGATTTTGTTTTGATTTATTTAGTCTCTTTCTTTCTTTTTTTTAAGTGGGTGATATTACAGCATGTTTGTATCCAGGAATGAATGAGCCAGTAGAGACCAGGAAGTTGATGGATGGAGGGGAGGAGGGGATCTGATCCTGTGCCCAAGCTGAAAGGTGGCCTTAGACAGGAGCAGGACCATCCATCATCACTGCTGTGAAGCCAGAGGATAGAGGTACAGATGTGGGGTGTGGGAGAATGATGGTGCAGTTCTCAACTAGTCCTTCTTTTCTCTGAGTGTAAAAAGAAATGAGCTTATCACCTAAGAGTGGGGAGTGGGAAGGGAATGGAGGGGTGAGGAGGGAGGAGAAAGTGAGAAATAGCCCCCTCAGTAGGTGTGAAAGTGAACTGACTCAGGAAATGGCATCCAGAGAGAGCAAGACTGGGGCCACTGAGCTCTGTGCTCATCAACTTAGAGAGAGAGTTCCAGCAGCAGGAGGATGTATAATAGCCCAGTAGAAAATGCAACAAAATATCTCCTAGTGTGAAGATTACAGTTATTTTTACTTTGTCACTTACAACTTTTAACATTTTATACTTTTTCTACAGTGAATATACGTTATATCATATGTATTATACATTATACATATACATCATAAATCAGAATATAAAAACTTTGTTTAAATTTTAAAAGGGAAGCAGATGGGTAGAAAAATTCCAGAGCTCAGGGCACAGGGCTGGAAGTGCTGGGCTCCATGTCTGGGCAATGAACTTACAGAGCCTTTTCTCCATTTCTCAGTACACTGTTCTCTGTGGAGGCCAAGCAGGATCTTTCCCTTCTTTTGGGTGTGTGATCATTTATTAGTATCTTGTCAGCTCTGATGCTTTTAAGATGGTTTTGTATCTTACATTTTCAGTGGGATAATTTGTCCATACAATCTAGCTCACCTTTTTAAGAACCGGAAATTCTAAGGCAAGATAGTTCAGTGAAAAGGTGATTGGTCTTTGAGTAGAGGATCAGAATCTAAGTCTTAACACATGATCTGAGCATGATCTGACATGTGTTTTACAAGTGTAATGGATTTTAATGTAATTTAGTTTTGAAAACATTATTCATGTACATACAAGAGAATTCAAATGATACTCAAAAATATACAAAAATAAATGTCACATCATCCCTCCCACAACCCCCAGTCACCCAAGTCCTCTACCCAGAAACCATCACAGTTAGCAATTTCTCATTTCCTTTCCAATTAAAATATATCTATGGGGTCCAGCCCAGTGGTGTAGTGGTTAAGTTTGGGCACTCTGCTTTGGTGGCCCAGGGTTCGCAGGTTCAGATGCTGGGCGTGGACCCATGCACCACCCATCAAGCCATGCTGTGGCAGGTGTCCCACATATAAAATAGAGAAAGATGGGCACAGATGTTAGCTCAGGACCAATCTTCCTCAGCAAAAAGAGGAAGATTGGCAACAGATGTTAGCTCAGGGTTAATCTTCCTCACAAATAAATAAATAAATGAATAAATAAATATGCATTAATATATACTGTTATGTCAATAAAAGGGCTCAGACCACAGACTGGGAGAAAAAATTTGCAAATCACATATCTGATAGGGGCCTTGTTTTAGAATATATATAGAACCTTAAATTGCAACAATAAGAAAACAAAAAATTCAATCAAAAAATGAGCAAAAGCCTGAACAGGTACTTTACCATGGATGGCTAATAAGCAGATAAAAAGATGATCAACATCATGTGTCATTGGGGAAATGGAAATAAAAACAACAGTGATATACCATTATACACCTATGAGGATGGCCTAAATCCAAAAACTGGTAATGCCAAGTGCTGACCAGGATGTGGGTGAATAGGAACCCTCATTTATTGCAGGCAGGAATACAAAATAGCACAGCCACAATGGAAGATATTCATCAGTTTCTTATAAAGCTAAACATAGACTTACCATACAACCTACTGATCACTCTCCTAGATATTTACCCAACTCATTTGAAAAGTTACATTTGCACAAAAACCTGCATGTAAATGTTTATAGCAGAACACCCCTTAAGTGTGGGCTGCGCATAGTGACTTCCTTCCAAAGACTATTGTATGAAGGGGATGAAGAAAAAAAGGAACTTCACTGGAGGAACTTGGGAAACACGACCTCAGCCAGGTGGTGAAGGTGAACATCATCAGTGATCAATCAAGTGGGTATTATACACCCTTGATGTGTTGTGTTGAGAATGGCACTTCACCTCTGTGGTCTTCTTCCAAAAACCCATAGCCCCAGTCAACCAAACTCAAATTGAGAGACAGTCTACAATAGAGCTGAGCAGTGCTCCTCAAAAACATCAAGGCCATCGAAAACAAGGAAAGTCTGAGAAACTGTCACAGCCAGAGGAGTGTGAAGGAGACATGACTGGGATTCAAGGTGGTATCACAGATGGGATCCTGAAAGTGAAAAAAAAAATACTAATGAAATCCAAATAAAGTATGGATTTCAGTAATAATGTATCAATATTGCTTCATTAGTTGTGACAGATATATGATTGTGATGTAGATGTTTATATCAGGGACAACTGAGTGTGGGATGGACAGGAACTCTGTACTAACTTTGCAACCTTTCTATAAATCTCAAGCTACATATTCTAAAACAAAAGAGTTTATTTTTTTAAAGTAGCCTTCAAAAAAGGAATAGGGAGTGGAAGAAAAACATGATCTACTTTTCAGTTTTCCAGAGTGTTGTCATCAAGGGGCTGGAGAGAGGGATTGTGGGAGAACAGATGGAAACCTCCAGAGCTCTCCTCTCCTCCAGTCCCTGCCCCACACCTGAGCCCGAGCCCAGGGCTACTCAGAAGGCATCTTCATCCTCCACTGATGTCCAGCCCCCAGGCCAGCCACCTCTGCCTAACTCAGACCATAGCCCATCAGCTCCCCTGGCTGTGCCAATGGGAGGGAGCAGAGAGGTGGCGCCCCCGTGTGGCCACAGGGCTGAGGACAGAAGACCAGAGCTCTTCTTTGGCCTCTTCCCCAGGACCTCCCCAGTGTCTCCCTGGGCCCCCAGCAGCAGGACAGGGCTGTGCACACAAGGAGGAACCCCCATCCAGTGTCAGGTTCGCAGTCTGAATTGTTTCCCAAAATACATGCTGACATAGACATTTTCCTCTCCATTGAATGACCATGGACTTTGGCCTCAGGGAGGGGCAGAGCCCCAGGCCATAAAAGCTAGTTCCTAGGTCCAGGGTGGACCGCACAAACATACTGGGTGCCCTCAGTCTCCTGGATGAGACCTTGAACCCAGAGTCCCTGTCACTTGTTCCTGCTGCTGCTCCCAGGGATGAGGTCTCATCCTCCAGGGAATCAATTCTGAATTTTCCATCCCTAAGATGGGGTGGAAGAAGGGGAGGAGGAGGAAGAGATCCCCAGGTTAATGGCCTAGGAAGATGGGGAAGTTTCTGGAGAAGTGAGGAGAAGAAGGAAATAGTGACATTAGGGGGATGGAGGCCAACAGGAGTGGAGAGGGAGGAACCCGAGAGGAGAGGGGAAGGGGAAGGGGTCAGCTTAGTGGACACCTGTGCGGGGAGGGATGGATTCTGTGTTGGGGGAGGCACAGGGGCTCCTGACTGGGGCACTGAGGTCTTTATTTTCACCTGAGTGGTAATTACAGAGGTGTTAGCTCTATAACTGGCTGGTAAACTATACTTAAATTTACACATTTTTCCATACTTACATGTGTGGTATAACTCATGCACAGAAGAAAGGGACAAGGAGAGGGGAAGTGATTAAGGTGCTTCCCCTCTTCCAGAGCAAGATCCTCCCCACAACCTCTGACCCCTCATTCAAGGAACTGAGAGCAGGGGAGAGCAAGGCCTATGATGCCCTGGAGGGGACAGCTCTGGGCCTGATCCCAGAGTTTCCAGAGTCCCACTCCCTGAGCGATGACTTCACAGCCCTGTCCAAGTCCATCTCCATTTCACAGCCCTCAGCTACCTGGACACCTTGTCTTTATTTGCTAAGATAGCAGGAACCACTAGTCCAAAAAGAGCAGCTCAGAGACCACAGACAGGGAGCTGTCCAGTGGCTGGAGGCCAGGGAGACACGGAGATGGCATTCCTGGAGCACCGAGGGCAGGATGTTGGGTGAAGTCTGGGGACCACAGTGGGCTACAAGGAGATCAGCGATGAGTCAGGGCTCTAGCTTCTGCCTAATACTTCCCCTGGAACCCGAATTCATCCCTCCCCCCTCCCCAGGTCTCCAGGACCCACGTGTCCAAATACCATACCAAAGGACACCGAAGGTGGACCCTTTTGTCCACGTGTCAGACCACTCACCCTCTTGGAGCCTGGAGGGCAGTGCTCCCTCCTCCCCATCCCCTGCAGCCCAGGACCCAGCATCTCGCCTTTTTCCCCTTCCTGGACCAAAGCAGACATGGACCTGCTGTCTAGATCTCTCATGCCTCCCTCCCTGCTTCCTGCAAACCACGAAATTAAAGGTGTTGGAGTGCTGGACCCAAAACTAATTTCTGAGCCTGCTGAATGACCTAGGGGTTTGGGGGTCACAGGTCAGGGGAGGGCTCCCCTGGGCACCACAGGCTGCAGCTGAGCCACGCCTTCCAGCGGGGCAGAATCCGGGTATTCTGGACATACATCTAGACCTGGGAGGACTGCAGTGTCTAAAACCCCGCAACCTGGCCGCGGTGCCCCTCTGGAGCACAAGGGTCTGCAGAGGCAGCTGGCAGTCTGGCTTAGTCCTTGGTCATGCGTTTTGGGCTGCATGGGAAGTGTGGAGGGGCTCTGTGCCGCTTTCTGTCTCCTTGGCTCCTGGCCTGGGATAAGCTAGTGAGTAGCCCCTCCCCCGCCCCCCTCCCAAGAGAAAGAGACACTCCCTCCCCCATCACTTACCAGGGGCCCACTTACCTCTCCTGTGTAAGTCTCAGCTTTGAGGAGATCTGGTCCCTAGACTTCTTCATTTATTAACAAATACTTCTTGAGCATCTGCTCTGTGCCACGCACTCTTCTAGGCCCTTTGGGATATATCAGACCAACTCAGGCAAAATCCCTGCCCTCGTGGAGCTTACATGCTGAAAAGAACAAGGTAGGGAAGATGAGGGAACCGGCTGTAATTTTAAATATTATCCTCAAGGGAGGCTTTCCTGAGAGGTGACATTCGAGCTAAGTCCTGAAGGATGTGAGGGACTGTGCTTACAGGGAGGAAGAGTGTTCTAGGATCACCCTCTGCACAGACCTGTGGCTCGCCTGGGGAAAGCAGTGGGGCTACAGCAGGAATGGGACTGGGCAGACTTCAGGAAGGACTTCCTGTAGAGGAATTGTGGGGATATGGGTTTGTATACCTCATGACTTGCTCCCCATTTGTGCCTGGGGATTCATGAAATCCTGGAGATTGGAGGAAGATAAAGGGTGTGTGTCTTGACATGAGTACCGCCATGTTTGGCCGCTCCATTGACCTACAGCCACCAGCACAAAAAGAAATATAAAAGCTGCTGTCTGCCTGGTGGGAACTGGCCCTTCTCCCATGGAGATAGTTGCTATGTGTAAAAATTTCAAGGCCCTTTGGGCGCCGCAGCCTGGGACAGACTGGCCATCTGTGCCAGGCTGGGACGATAAGCAAAATAAACAATGCACATACACAACTACTGGGCTAGGACGATAGCCAGGGGGCTCAGTGAACGTACACCACTGATAACCATTTGTGCATGGGAACACTAGATGCTTGCTCTGAAAAAACTGTGCAACTGCTTATATAAACTGCTGGAGAGTGAGACCCGGTGAGAGTTCCACCTGTGTAAGGGATGCCTTGCCCAGGACGTGTGATCCTTCCCAGCTGTGTTGATTGACAGGTCTCTCCCGGCAGTGGGGCATAAATGTTATGAGTAATTGATTTATTGTGAAGTAATTGATCTGATGTGTTCACTTTTCAGTTGATTTGTATCATTTACCTTCAGTCGATCTGATGTTTTTCCCTCTTATTATATGACCTATTCGAATCTGCTGCTATCTCAGCTGATGTGGATGTTTTCCTTTTCCAGTCGAGCTGGTGTTTTTTCCCTCTTATTATTTGACCCATTCGGATCTGTTTGTGGACTATCGCCTTTACTATCCTCTATATAATAAAATATACCTTCAGTCCATTTGTTTGGAGTGGAAAGTTTCTTTTATGTCTTCGATCAAATCCCCGAACCTCTCATAACATAATTGGCGCTGTGAGCAGGATTCAATTAAGGAGATAGCTTTCCTATTCAAACGAAAGGTAACTGAAGCCAAGGTGGAGGAGATCCCAGGATGGGAGGACCCTCCCTTTTGCACTCTGGCTGGGGAGTGGGCTCGTAGGTCAGGGTTATGTGAATCTCGGGATATTCGTCTGCGACGATTTGAACCATTGGATGTGACCAAAGCTTTGCAGACGGTGGAAAGAAAAAAGAAAAATGATGTTTCTTTTTTGGCACGACGAGGTTGATGTTTGTTGACTGCTTATCGTCAGGCTATAGAAGATAGGGATAAGATACAGAGAGAGAAGGCACTCTTGGAGAAAGAAGTTTCATATTTGCAGTTTCGATTGGCTATGATTCAGTGTCAATATCATACACTGGGAGATCAGGCTCGCAACTACCAAGCTATAGCAGAAAAGGCTGCTGTAAGAGTGACTAAATATAAATATAGAAAGAGGAAAGGAAAGATAAATGAATGAAATGTTCATATGGCCATAGCATCGGCCGGCCCTAAATGGGACCCTGACACATGGGATGGTGATATCTGGGATGATGATTCTGAATAAACTGATTATGAGGAAGAGAAAAAACCGCCCAAACGCACAGAGGCACGTCCTCTTTGCCGTCAGCGGATGGAAATGGATGGTGATCATGCTGTAAGGAAGGATGTAACTGAGGATTTTACCCAACAAGAAATTTCTGATATCTTATCCCGGGCTACACAAAAGCCTGAAGAAGCCATTATAACCTGGCTTGTTCGCCTATATGATATGGGCGCTACAGGAATTAATCTGGATGCAGGAGATGCTTTTAAATTTGTAATTTTGTCCAATGATCCAGTAATATGGGGAGCTTTCAGAGACTGGAGCATGAATGCTCATCCCCCCCAAATGATCATAGACAAGACACTGATGATACAACTTTATTGGTTCTTGCAGTAAAAGGAGCTCAAAATAAATAGCCCACGGATGATATGTGGCCGGACACTAATAGACCGTGGTACACTTTAAAAGATTGTGTCCAAAAGATGAGAAAAGAAACCATGAAACGGGCTGTTTCTGGGGTGTGATGAAGCTTTAAATGAAATGACTTTAAATGTCCAGGTGCGAAACAAGTTAAAACTGCACCTCCGGCATATAAACAAATAATTACAACCCTTCTCATGAATGAAACTGAAAACCCTATATCAACACTTGCAGACAAGATTATGCAGCTGGGAGACTTAGGAGACTAACAGGCAACTGAAAACTCTCCAGGAAGGGAAAAAAGAGAAACATTCTCTAAGAAGGATAAAATTACTCGAGATGATATGTTTTTGGCTCTACTCCGGGCAGGAGTACCCAAAGATCAGATTGATGGAGCTGACACTAAAGAATTATGGAAACTATATAAAGAAAAAGGGCTGAATGTAAAACAAGTAAATAAAAGGGACAATACAGAGAATG